ATCAGAACTGCATCTGGTGTGAACTAGTCCTTAGCACAAATTAGCAAACTAAATGTGAGATTGTAGTCCATCACGGGAGTGAGCTTGGAGCGGTGACTACTTTACAACACACAGGGACCATGGGTAAGAAAAGTAGCCACCCTCCAGAAGGAAGGACAGTGACATCACCAGACTCAGACTGGGCGGAGGTCGTGAGTGGCGTACCCCAAGGTTCGGTGCTGGGTCCCATGCTTTTTAACCTATTTATTAATGATATAGGGGAGGGAGTGAGAAGTCATATCTCAGTGTTTGGTGATGATACGAAAATTGGGAGGGCAGTAGACACAGATTTAGACATTTTAACATTACAGGAGGACCTGGTTAAGATTGGGGAGTGGGCAACTGTATGGCAGATGAGGTTCAATGTTAAAAAGTGTAAGGTAATGCACCTTGGAGTTAAAAATAGGCAAATGGACTATACACTCATGGGTATGCAACTAGGGAAGTCTGAAATGGAGAAGGATTTGGGGGTCATTATAGACCGCAGAATGAAGAACAGCTTGCAGTGCCAGGCTGCTGTAAACAAGGCAAGCAGAGTCCTGTCTTGCATTAAGAAGGGAATGTATTGCAGGGACAAGTCTATAATTTTGCCTCTTTATAGATCCCTGGTTCGGCCACATCTGGAGTATGCGGTCCAGTTTTGGTCACCAATACTAAGAAAAGATGTCCTTTAGCTGGAAAAAGTCCAGAAGAGGGCAACCAAACTAATTAAGGGGTTCGAGAATCTGAGCTATGAAACAAGGTTGTTAAAATTAAATATGTTCTCGTTGGAGGTGAGGAGATTAAGGGGGGACATGATTTTTATGTATAAACTACTCAAGGGTGACAGCAACCTTAGTAACAAACTGTTTACGGTCAGCTCTGTAACAAAAACCAGAGGGCACAACCTAAAATTGGTGGAAAAAAAATTTCAACACACAGGGCGCAAGGGGTTCTTCACAGTTAGAGCGGTTAAGGTCTGGAACTCACTGCCACAGGAAGCGATTTCAGCTAAGAGTGTGGAATCATTCAAGAGACTACTGGACAAGTTCCTGGGTGACCAGAACATTCAGGGGTACAGGTATAGCTAACAGAAACATCACGCATGGACTCATACACGCACACATCAACTCATAAATGCACACACACAATAGGTTGGACTTGATGGACCTATGTCTTTATTCAACCTCAAATACTATGTAACCAATTCAGAGATGATTTGAGGATCTACAGCCGAGTGATACACAAATAAGATACATTTCTGTTAATAGTTAAGGTATCTGAATGTATTTTTAAGATTTGACTCCTGAGTTTAGTGTCACTTTAATACCAGTTTAAACCATTTTGCTCCTCACAACAGGGGACAGAGTTTTCTTTTTTCTTTACAAACGACCTATTTCCTGGTTTTACTGAATTCCGCTGACCTCCAATATATAAAACATAATGTCTCCAGCTTATTTGTAGCTTCTCCCTTTCAGATCTTCTATAATAAATACATCATGTTCTCCCCGTTTGGCTCGGCACCCCAGGGATCTCAGATCTTATCATTGCGACTTGAATAAGTAAATTTCCCACATCGTCTTTTGTATTGCTACAGAGGCATTTTTTTTTCTCATCGCTAGCGCTTTCTTCTACGGTTTTGTTCGGTTCAACCTGTAATTGCCGCCTAACAGAAAGGCTCATAGTTTCGCTCGGCGGGTTAGCCAATTTATATAGAAAATCTAGACGCGCACGCATTCACACTGTTAAAACAGAATCCTGGAGTAAAATTAAAAAAAAAAAAAAGGATAAAATTCGGTCTGGAGATTCTACTTTGCATATGCATAGAGGGTGCGTCATGTCAACATTATTTTAATGAGGGGCGAAGAGCCATCCTGGAGTTCCGCGATGGGCAATAAAGTAATTTAAAGTGAGATTCAAAGGTTCATCCGGCTCATTCCGGATGCTATAATGCAACGCGTCATATAAAAGCCCGGCTCTTGTGCAGTCACAACAGTTGCGAGCTGCTGTCATCCTTTTGTGGCGTATATGTTGCGTGTTACAATAAGATAAAGCTGCAAAGAATTCTGCCGGGTGCAGATATCTCATTAATGTCACTGATGTGTGGCTTAGAAAGTTGGGTAAGTATTCATCATGTGCTTAAAGCAGAACTCTGATCAAACAGCTAGATACACGGCTGGAATACAGATCAGAGAACTGTTTTATCTGCCGGCTTGTTTGCGATTCTGGTCTTGTAATTCACACAAAGATAATGTAGCAAGAAGGGCGATAGCATTTTCTCTATCTGTGGCATTATATCTCAACCTTAGTTCAGTCGTGGCGCCCTTTAAAAGTATGCAAAATCTCAAGGCACCCAAGTCTAAAATGTAATGGATTGTAAGGGGGCACCCTACACAAAAAACACACAAAAAAGTGGGGTTCTTCCATGCCCATCGAAGTCTCCTCTTCAAATCAGGACCCTCTTTTCACATTTGAATCCTCCCTTTCACTTTAGAGTCCTCCTTTTCATAAGCAGCCCCCCTTCCCATTAGAAGCCCCCTCATTTCATATCAGACTCTCCCCCCTTCCCATTAGAAGTCTCCTCCTTTCATTTCAAAGTCCTCCCCTTCACATCAGAGTCCTTCTGCTCACATAAGAATCCCCCTTTACATTAGAAGTCCGGTCCTTTTATATCAGAGTCCCCTTCTTCACATCAGAGTCCTCCCCTTCATATCAGAATCCACCTGGGTATTTTTTTTTTTTTAAAGATTTTTCATTTAATATTTAAAGTTTATCCTTAAGCTCCAGTCCGGCGACTTTGCCTAGGCTGCGATGATGAATGTCATCAGTTTACTGCAGGCAGGAAGAAGCATTTCCTCAGTCTCCTCTCCCCTATTAGATTGCAACATTGAAACTTTGTAGCGAGTCAAACGTGAGAGGCCGCAGCAGGGGCTGATCTGTGTCAGACAGCACAGCCAAGAACTGCATAGTATAAAAACAACAGAGCTAGAACCTCATACACAACTTTCACACTCATTAAACAGCTCTGATCCAAGCTGCGGCTTGTATCCCTGGTTGCAATCCCAGTCAAATAAAATATTTTGTAAATGGCACTCGTCAGAAATCTCAGAAAAGCTCCATATGTCTATACAAACGATGCCAAGTCCTAAAACCATTCCACCAGAAAATTGTGTTACAGTGCTGAGCCGGAAAATAGCAACATCATTTTAGAATCATAACAAACAGAAAATATCACAAAATAAAATGTGAGCTCTACACTAGTTGCCTTTAAAACTGCTGAGAAAATAATATTTTGTATTTGAAATATACAGGGTGACCCAGGGGCGTAACTAGAAATCACAGAGCCCCATAGAAAAATGTTGTATGGGGCCCCGTGATTTCAAGTTACACCCCTTGCAGAGCCCACTTGAGATCCCACACAGCCCACCTGAGGGAGCCCACCATAGATTATGCAGGGTCATACCTCAGGTGGGCTGGTCACGCTCCTTACCTGTATGCCGCCTCTTCCTCCACAGTTGTTGAGGAGCCCCGCCTCCTCCCCCATCGCTGGGCCCCGCCTCCTCCTCTGCCGCCAACCCCGGGTCTCGCCTCCTCCTCTACCACTGCTGCTGGCACTCACTGACTCAACAGCGCTGTGGAGAGGAACGCACTGCTGCACAGATTACGGACAGCAATTTGAACAGCGACATGTTCCTCTTCACGGCTGCTAGTGACAGCAAGCAGCATGAGATGCCATAGCGACCCAGGCGGCCCGCAGGGCATCAGGGATGTCCTGGCCGGGCCCCACAACGGCCGCCTGGGTCGCTATGGTGATTGTTACGCCACTGGGGTGACCGATGGGAGTCTAACGTTTTTAGAACAGGTAGTACACAGTAAGTGGTGATGGGAGGGGGGCGAGCTGGGTGTCTTTCCTCCCCCCACCCCAATGGAATGACAATTCAGTCACAAAGAAGCAATGGACGTTACAACATTGTTTTCTTACGACAGCTTTGTTGGAAGTGGTGAGTCTATCACAGAAACGCAGCGGCTATTTCGTCGAGAATTCAATGCTGGTCGACACTGGGCCGTTCCCAGTCGCAACACGGTCCTCAGGTGTTTGAACATTTCAGAACAACCGGAAACATTATTTAACATGCAAACGCCATGAAGATAGTGTCCTGCCCGGGCTTCGAACCGGGAACTTGACATGTGCGATTCCTTTCGTTCCAAATAAGAAACTGACTAATTTTCCAACGTGTCCGAATCCAAATTTCGGTTTCCGAATTTCGGATCCCGATCCTGTCCAAATTTTGTTCAAAATCTAAACTGAATTGCACGTGTGACTTTTCTGGACAATCAGATGCGTTTTTTGGTTTAATGCATCTGAATGGGTCTGAACCCGAATTTTACAGCCACATGGGAGCCATCTGATTGGCCAGAAAAGTCACATGCCGTAACGAAAATTCGTGTTTGGTATATACTGTACATATAATACTAAACCTGAGGCTCCTAGACCTCAATGGCATTCGGGATCCGGATTTTCGAATTGCATTTGGGAACTCCCGAATTCGATTCGGGTCTAAGAGCTTCAGCTTTAGTATTAATATCTGTATATGGTTTTCTGTGGTATTTGCAACAAATATTCGTAAGCTCATCCGAAACTAACGAAATTCGGATTTAGTCTGAATCCGAAACCCAAACCAAACTGAATTTCGGATCAGAATGCCAAATTCTGAAATATCCAAACTGAATTTTTCCGCAGCTTACATGTCTGCCGGGGACCCCCAGTGCTGAAAGGCTAATGTGCTATACACTCAGCCACTGTGCATACCTCCCAACTCCAGAGTGCACATATCAGCCTCCGATAATACATCAAGGCATACTGCACAATACGTTCTTGCGTTTCCTAATTGCTCGTTTGTGTAGCTTACTTTTCTGTACATTTCTGCGCTATTAACGTTGAGAAAAAGCTAATTGTGTGATACCGGTATAACATGTCTTACCTTCCCTGATTGCAGTAAATGGTGTTCCCTCCTCTTCTTGTAATCTTATCACCTTCAGTGCCACAAGCTTTCCATTTACTCTGAAAAAGATGAAGAAAGTTGTTGTAACTGTGCAGCACATTTATTTGAGGTGAGGTAACAACAGTACCGAAGGGCAGGAAGTGCCTGCGTTAGTCTTCTGATTGACCTTGTGTTCCTGTGGGGGGCCCCGTTAGAACATTGGCCCTGGCTGTGTATGTACCCTGACTTCTGCTAAAGTCAGAGTTAAGCTCCACCCCTCCTGCTGCCAAGAACCAACTCCACCTGTCAAAGGCAAGAGTCTCCATTGCCCTATCTATAGATGTTTGGAGGTGTGGCTTATCTACTTGGGAATAAATCAGTTCCCCGTGTATTGCCTGCACTTAGGACCCAAGGGGCTCCATGGTGATCAGCTAAGGATCAAAGGTGGGGCTTATAGCGGTTTGGAGTTGTGGCTTATTCTGTACTTGGGCATAAATCAATGCCCCATGTATTGCGTGCACTTAGGTTCCAAGAGGCTCTATGGTGATCAGCTAAGGATCAGAGGTGGGGCTTATAGCTGTTTGGAGGTGTGGAGTATTCTCTACTTGGGCATAAGTCAATGCCCCATGTATCGCTTGGGCTTAGGACATAAGGGGCTCCATGGTAATCAGTTAAGGACCAACACAGGTACCTGGTGCAACACTTACCCTAGAAACAGTTCAGGTTAACTGTAATGGTCCATGTACATCTATGTGTAACCATGCATTACCAACAAGCATCATACAGGTATAACATGTAAAGTCAAAGCTGTCTAATTCAGCTCATATCCCTGAACAAATCTGCAGATGAACGCCATTTATTATGTAGATCACCGTTTCTGCAGACTAATTAGCCATATTGCTCTGCTGAAATGTTTAAATATTAATTTACTTTATATTGTTTGGCTAATTGGAGTATATTATTATTTAAAGCGCTATCCTGGGCGACAAGTAAAGTCAATTACTGAACTGCTAATGTTTTCTAGAAAAACACAGCAACTGCGTGAAAGTCCAAGCGAATTACCTACATCTGAATTCACTGCAATTCATTGAAAGCAGATTCCAGAAAGCTTCTAATATGTGAAGTTGGCAGGTCTGTGTCATGAATCATATGCGGTTCAACTTACTCTCTGCCTGATGTATCACCAATCAGTTGCAAAATTCCATGGTGGCATTGGATGGGATTGGTGGCTGTGAGCATGAATGAGTAATACTGATTCTTTGATATATGAGAAGCTGAAACAGTAAGGATCTTGAAGAGGGTGTGTTTTGGAACACCACCCCTACATTACAAACAAATGAACAAGAGGGAGTGCCAGATCTCTGACAAAAGGTAGTTGGGTGGTGAGCTGTACTACAGTAAGGCCTGGATGAAGACCGAAGTATCCAACTCAAGGCTTGCTTTCACACGACCATTCTGAGGACTTCAGAAGAAGGTAAGTATTTATTACAGGTATTTATATACCACCAACAATTTATGCAGCGTTTTATTTAGTGCACGTGTACATCAGTCCCTGCCCTCAAGTGTGGGAGGAAACCGGAGTACCCAGAGGAAACCCAAGGAGAACATGCCTACTTCCTTGCAGATAGTCTCCTGACCAGGATTCCAACTGGGTACCCCCAGTGCTGCAAGACAAAATCACTAAGCCACTGTGCTACCCATAAACGTATAAAATAAAAATGCTTGGGGGAGCCATCGGAGTGAAAGGGAGGAACAATGGGCGGTCGCAGAGTTAGTCTTTATGAATGCAATTAATAAAATAAAGTAAAACTATGGGCAAAGTAAAACATCATATATAGGATGAAGCCTGCCAATGGCAATAACACAACAGTTTGTTTTTCCTAAGTCTCCCATTACAGTTTAAAGGAGAACTATGAGATGAGTGCTTTTCACTCACCTCATAGTTCTAGCCGACCTGTGACAATGACACTGTAACAGGTCGGCTCAGTAGATCGGGAGGTGAGCGAACACATACCGGCGTTCGGTCACCTCTCGATCCTGTCACGGCTCTCTGCCGTGACAGGGGAGGGGCTGGATTCCCACCTCCACGCTCCGCCACAATTGTCGGGATCCGCTTCAGCGTCTCAGTATACCGCGAGCTGCAGCTCGCGGTATACTGAGCCTAGGGTGATGGGAGGACGCTAGTTTGTGTCCTCCCGTTACCCTAAGGAGAACTATGGGGAAAAGCCTTAACCCCATAGTTCTCCTTTAATACCTGTTAATCTTGCCAGTAAATCTGTTATTTGTCCACTTCCTTTAAGAAGGTGACAATGCTGTTTGTTGTTGAGTGAAATCACACATCGGTGTTAATCACCCTGTGGGAAGGGGAATCTTAGATAGACATGTCGTTTTAAATGGATTTAAGTAATAAACGCATTAAAGACTAACTGACCGTTGACCATTTTAAGCACCCCCAACAATGTAGTATGGTTTACCCCAACCTCTGTAAATGCTACTTATGCTGGACAGCTGGCCTGCTAAAAGAAGTGGAAAATCAGCAGATCTACTGGCAGGATAAACAGGTAATAGAACAATGTTACAAGGGACTCAAAAGGAAAAAAAAACTGTGTTAATGCTAGTGACAGATTGCGGCATGACTGCCATTTTTTTTTGCCCACAGTTCTAATTTAACAACAAGGGCTCGTTCACACCATCCCCATTGGGCAGCGCTGACCAAAATATAACCTGTCCTATTTTTTTTTGTTGACCATGGTGTGCTGGTGATATATTTTACTACTTGAATCTGAAGCGGCTCCATATGCAGTCACTACAGAACCTACTGCAGGGGACATACCAGTAAGGAGTGCGGTAGGATTCTCCTGTATTTCACTGCTTTTTTTTTCACGCCACACCAACGCAGCATGTTGGGGTGAACTGAAACAACAGGACATAAGGCAAGTTGTGTTGGGCAGCATTGACAAGGCAATTTATTTATCCTATTGTTTCAGTTCACCCCAACGTGGTTTGGTTTCACTTTATTTTCCTTTTTTTACTGGGGCCAGATTTTATGTCTTAGCCCTGCCAATGGGCATTCCAGTTTCCAATGAGATTGCCTCAGTGGAGAGTAAAGGCACTGGTGGAGCTTAGCCAACATGTCAGGGAAGGTGGGGCCTCAGTAAAAAAGTGGAACTTAATCAGAGAGGGGCATAGAATAACTTTATTTAGGTATATCTGTAAAAAATAAAAATCAATGCAACTGGACTTTGCTGTATTTTTCTGGAAGACGTTTCGCTAGTCAATGCCGCACTAGTCCCATCTTTCTTTTCATACCCTTTAAATTGTAATTTGGTGCTAGACATGCACCAATACCGGTATTTCGGTATCTAGTAGGAGTACCGATATTTTTTTTCCCGGTACTCGCCGATACCGAATACCAAGTACCGGAAGTCCCATTCAGGTGTAATGACTCGCCACCTGGCTTCCTGTTTAGCTTGGAAGCGTGTAAAGACCCGCCACCCGGCTTCCCGATTAGCAGGGAAACCGTCCCCATGCTTCTAGTCACTGGGTGACGAGAAAACATGGAGCCGGCTTTCCGGCCAATCAGGAAGCCGGGCGCTGTGTAATGACGCGGTGCCAGGCTTTCTGATTGGCCGGGAAGCCGGCTCCATGCTCCCTCGTCATAAGGTGACGAGGGAGCACGAAGCCGGTTTCCCGACCAAACAGAAAGCCGGGCGCCGCGTCCTTACACTTCGCCTGGCTTCCTTATTGGCCAGCTTTCGACCAACCAGAAAGCCGGGTAGCGCAATTGACGAGAGAGCATGGAGCCGGCTTCCCGGCCAATCAGAAAGCCAGGCAGAGGGTAATGACGTGCTGCCCGGCTTCCTGATACCCGAAGTATCGTGCTAGGCATCGGAGCATTCAAGCGAGTACAAGTACTCGCCCAAATACTCGGCATTGGCAACGATACTAGTATCGGTATAGGCTCATCCCTATTTAGTGCATTCATAAAATATTGGGTGTACCGACAATAGTTTATCTGGCTCACTGTACTTTTCTGCTTTTTCAGGTAACAAAAAAAAAGAAAAAACAGTTAGTGTCAATTGGGAATCATGCATCAGTTCTGCTGGCACTACTATAGGACATGCTACAAAGCACATGTCTTCAGTCTAGTGACAAAAACAGAGAAGAAAAGCTGCAAAAGCAGTAAGTTCCTGAGGTGAGAACATCTCAAATGACCCAAACCATCCAACTATGTCCAAGTTTAGCAAATTATGCATATCAAAGAATAATGATTTGCCTTGTTTGATATATATGGCGGGTTGCCTTCATGTTTGGGAGAAAGGAAAAAAGGAGACTAAAGCTCCCCATTCACCTTGCGATCATCAGACGACACTTTTCGTCCGATGATCGAACCGGCTTAAGATTTAAGTACGGTGGCCCCATCCTGCCGCGATTATCGCAAGGTTGGTTCAGCGTTAATTAGAAGAAAGCACCTGGACGCATTGCGGTAATCCACCGCACGTATTTTCGTCTACGCATGTGCAGGGTAAACCGTACGCATTTTGACGTACGAAAACGCCACCAACCTTGCAAAACTCGTACGATCGACCGAAGTTTTCTAATCTGCTGGAAAGTCAAAAGTCGATCGATTGTACAGTATTTGCGCTTGTACACTGCCCATCAACCTTACGAATATCGGACGAAAACGCGATCGCATACGAAAATCGGCCGATATTTGTAAGGTGTATGGGCACCTTTACACTGGCTGGACCTTTGATGACAGCCCCAGAAGAACAGAATAAGAAAAGATCATTTATATTTTAAGAATTTTCCAGGATATAGTTAATGCATCCTAAAAATGCACTTGTATATGAAAGTGGACCTACATTCAAATGTGAAAATAAAGTCAAAATGCTGGAAGAGATAAATAAAAAGGTAACAGGAGGTCTGAAATGCTGCTCCCTCCAGTGTTCACATTGTGGGAGGCTAGGAAATCTGGTCATGTGAGCTTGGCTAATAGTGAGAATATAAGGTAAGATTGGGTGATTTCATCACATACAGATCTTGTGACAAAAGGCCTAAGCTTTTAGTCACATGACCAGCACTAGAGGGAGTCGGGAACAGCATTTTCACCAGGAAGAGTAAGTATTTCAGACCTTCTTTTTCCCTTTCATTTTCTTCATTTGTGTAAAATTGTAAACATATCTTTAAAGTGTCATTTCATTATACTGTAGATCCGTTTTAAACTAGAACTGAAGCCAAAAAAATATTTTAGCTTCTGATGGAGTAAGGGAGAGTTATAACCCCCATTATTTTTTTTTGCGGTCTTTTTCGCATTGGGGAGATTTCCCTTCACTTCCTGTCTGATAGCCACAACAGGAAGTGAGAGGAAATCCCTCCAACTGGGGGGAATCCTCCAGGGAGTTCTTTGGTGGATGACCACCAGGAAATCCCTGGTGGTCCTCAGGGTCACCAGAACCAGTGTCCCCACTGGAAGGATTCACATCTATTCCTGTTTTAGTGACAACCCCAAATGTGGAATTTTCTATCACTTTCAGAGATAACGGTCACCGGGACCAATAGAGAGGGTGAATCTTCCTAACGGGGACACCGACAGCAATAAAAACCCTACAGGTGTTCTAATCCATCTCCACTCTATCGAAAACGAAGAGAAAAATGTTGGGCTTCATTTGCACTTTAATGGTTCATTCACACCAAAACTCTAAGGTAATGGCAAGTCAATGGAGGGTCTGTTGACTTCAATTGTACCTTCTAATTTGCTCCCGATCTGAGGTGCTGCAATCGTTTTTTTTCTTGTTTTTTTTTTAATTCTTTATTTTGAGTCAACATTTTACAGTATAAACATAACACATGTACAATCGGAAAATGAGGACATATAGATATAAACGTAAGAGGTACCGTATATCTAGATCCAATAGTCCCAGTCCCTTAATTAGCAAAAGTCCGGACAGTAACATTATAATATAGTATGCAACATCAGGGTGAGTGCAGTGTAAATCCTATAGGTCCTGACCTAGAGTATGATAAGCAATAGTTTCGCGATCTGTTTTTCAATGGATGCGAACGCAAGGGCACCGAAAAATGAATGGGCATGAATGAGGCTACTCCGATGGGTTGCCTTACGTTGCACTGAAAAAAGTATTGCATGTTCTACTTTTTTTTTTCCAGAGCAACGTAATGCAAAAGGAATGCAATGGAGCATGTGAACTGGTCCCATTTACACCCATTCATTTTTGGGTTACCTTCTATTGCCCATCCATTGAAAACTGGAGCGCAGTGGATCGCAACGGATCTGGCGTGAATGAAATTATATCAGGGGTAGCCAAACTCCGGCCCTCCAGCTGTGGTGAAACAACATATCCCATAATGCATCTCTCTGGTTGCAAAATACAAGCGATCCGCCGGCTCTACAGCCGGCGGATCGCTTGTATGGTAACAGGCACCGCTGTCTGTTTTTAAATTGCGGTCATTTCCTGCGCGCGCAAGGGGGCGTGTCTGAGCGGACGTCTAAAGACGCCCGCTCAGATCTAGAGAGCTCCGGCCGTTTTTTTACTACGGCCGGCCCGGAGGTGGTTAAAAGCAACAATGGGCTTCGTAGGTTTGTGCTTCTAGTCAGAAACAAGGGTTCTAGAAATCTAGCAGTTTTCATTCATAAGGTCGCAGATTTTGGAATTACTGGTACTTGTATCATGCATGAATTATTTTGGAATCAGGGACTGAGACTTACTTGCTTTTGCCTTTATACACTGTGGCATAAGAGCCCTCTCCTAGTTTTTCCAGTTTTTCATACGAGTCGGCTTTTCCGAATTTAGGACTCGTTGGCTGAAGAGAAAAAGATAAAAAGGGATTAAAGAAAGGAATATATTTTGTTTGAGCTTCACGATGATCATGTGACTGGAATGGTTAGGAAGTTTCCTAAATAGGGACACTATCACCAAATAAGTACATACAAAAATCACATTGTGCACAGCAATAACATAAAATGACTGAATCCAAAAAGATAACAAGCCAACACAGGGAAATTCTGCCTTTTGCATAAAATTAATAAATACACACCTCGTCATAAAAGAAAAAAAATGCACATTTAATATTTTTTGCTAGCAAAGCATTGCAACTGCGATACCCTGGCTCCTGCAGACACTTCCTCCTGTTCATGTCTGCACCGAGTTATGGACATGCAGTAACATAGACGAGAGGAAGTGTCAATGGACTACAAGTGCGGTGAAGTCAACGCATTGGTATTCCATGTAGAACTACGGGTCTCTCTGCCATGGTGGCTGATAGGTGTTGTAGTCTCTCTACACACATCCTGTCAAAGGATCTCTGAATGGATGACATGGCTGTGTCAGCAGAGCAACACACAGATGCATTCATTTCAAATAGGTAAATAAAGAGAAGAACAGCTTTGGTCTAAGACTTCTCACCAGAAAATCTTTTTTGTGTGAAAACAGCTACCAAGTGTAGTGGTATCATCTGTAATATCAAGACTAGATCAACGTTTCTCAACCTTTTTTCCAGTTGCAGCACCCTTTAAAAGTATGGAAAATCTTGGGGCACTGCAGTCTAAAGTGTAAAACCCGTAAATATTACATGTAGTCCCTCCAAAAATCCATATCAGACCCTTATCCAAGATATCCATGGTTTATAAGGGAGAATCACAAGGAAAAATGCAAATAAAAATGTGGGGTTCACATTCTGCTTAATGTCAGAGTCACACTTACACATCAGAATCCCCTTTTACATCAAGTGCCCACCTTCTTATTAGGAGCCCCTCTCACACTCGGAGCCCCTCTTCACATCAGAGTTCATCTTTACATCAAGAGCCCACCTTCACATCAGAGTTCATCTTTACATCAACAGCCCATCTTCTTATTAGGAGCCCCTCTCTCACTAGGAGCCCCTCTTCACATTAGAGTTCTCCTTTACATCAAGAGCCCACCTTCTTATTAGGAGCCCCTCTTCACATCAGAGTTCATCTTTACATCAACAGCCCATTTTCTTATTAGGAGCCCCTCTCACACTAGTAACCATTCTTCACATCAGAGTTAATCTTTACATCAAGAGCCCACCTTCTTATTAGGAGCCCCTTTTTAACATCAGGAGCCCGCCCCCCACACTTCACATCAAAAGCACTCTTCTCATTGGAGACATGACCCTGTAAAAATTTGAAGCCACCCCTGAGGAAGCCAGAAGGCACTGCAGGGTGCCATGGGGTTGAGAAAGGCTGCTCCAGATTCTGTTTAGTAGATGGGACAATACTCTTAGCAAGTGCATTATAACAGTAAAACCTCTTTCCATGCACTTTAGCATGTCGGAGTTTGGATCGATAAGGCTTTACAAAATCAGCTGTAAAAATAATGATAGTGTCCTCTTAAACAAGAAAAACATGGATGACCTCCACATGTATTGCATGGTGCAATGACAGATGTGGTAAAGGAGGTACGGAGCGAGATGGTCTCCCAAGAGGTGTAGTAGAATATTCATGCCCCAGACAACAGGTAATTCTGTAACCCGTGGTACACATTTGGACAGGAAGATAGCCGATTTATTCCCATTGTGGCATCTTGCATACATCCATATATCCAAAATGGCTTGAACGGGACAGGAGACACAAATGGGTCCTAGATATAATGGAATTCAGGTAGTGGAGTTACTTAATGTCCTGCTTATGCCTCATGTTGGAGTGCACATATGCTGAACACTTGTTGAGGGACCTACTTTTCATACATGGCTCACAAGTCAATTTGTCTTCAATGCTAATGAATGTCTGACTTGATTTTTATCTGATTAACCACACTTCTTCCCCATCTGTCCTGTAATACAAAAAAAATCAAGCTCCAATAAAGGAACTACAGGAAGCATTGGTGATCTGTTCAGATTAGTAAAAATGGATTCTGATTGGTTGCAAATAAAGACATCCCAACTCTCCCGGACGTTCCGGGAGTCTCCCACTATTAGACAGCGGCTCCCGGCCGCCCGGGAGATAAACATTTTCTCCTGGAAAGGTTTACTCTGCTTGATCTAGCAGAGTAAACCTTTCCGTGCTGTCTGAGAAAAAAAAAAACAGGAAAAGGAATGAATAGCTATATTGCTATTGGCTATTTCAATTTGCAATAGCCAATAGCAGACTAGCTATTGCACCCGCCCACTGCTGCTGTCAATCAGCAGAAGTGGACCTGAAGTTCTCCATCAGGTCCTCTTCTGCTAATTGACAGCATCAGAGGGCGGGTGCAGTAGCCAGCTTGCTATTGCAAATTGAAATAGCCAATAGCAATATAGCCATTCATTCCTATGCTGTTTTTTTTTTAATTATTATTATTCTGATGGCAGCAGCTGTCAGAGTACTAAAAAAAAAAACAACCCAACAGATAGTAAATAAGCTATTGCTTCCCTTGCTATGTGCAATC